TCGTGGATTATCAGCCTTAATTCGTTGATTAGAAGTGTAAATAAATCATACTTATACACGGTTTTTCTATCAGTTGATTTAGTTAATTATCCATACTAGGATTGCCGTTTTCTTTACTCTTGCAAATTTTATATGTTCACTCTCAATTGTATGTGCTCAAACTCAGCTTTTTTTTTTTTTTTTTTACCGTTGTGGATTATTTCCCATTGGGAAGAAAATAGAAATAATGTAAACTGCGATGACAGGTGCCAAGGCAGCGCGGAGCTGGAATATTTCATTGGCATCCGATAAAAAATAGACTTTGAACTGTCAAAAGTTCCAAATTTTCGTTTATCAGCTTGAGTGGAAAATGATACAAGATTGCATGTAAAAAACAATTTAAGTATACCAAGGTTATCTGCAAGGAACCGTGTTTCAATGTTCTGTAAGTAACCCTGGATCTTTTGTCTCAAACTTTGCACGGCACAATGTATTTCTTCGTAGAAAGTGCAAAACCTCACACGAATAAATGAATTTTATCCGAAATGCGATCGAAATGCTTCAACGGCTGTATTCCCGGCCACTCATAAACATTGCGAAAAACTCAAACCTTCCACTCGAGTCGATTCTTTTTCGTGCTCACAGAATTCGAAGAGATGATTTTCGAAGACAGGAAAATGAGAGCAGCGGCGTTCATACTTATGATCCACTTTGGAAAAAGAACGAAGCAAGCTCTTAGTGAAATACAAATGTCCACTTTGTCGCCGCGTACGTTATGGTTGTTTGAGAGGTACTACACACAGGCCATGGTCAATTACGTCGTTCAAATTGCGTGGCACGGGCTGAAAGGAAGAGAATGTTTTATAAGATTGACTGACTTTGTGAATTTTATAAGGTGGTTGTTTTCGTGGTCTTTTGTAAAGCGCACCCGACTAGCAACAAGGAAGGCTTGTTTTGTTTTTCATTTCTTTCTTGGAATTCAAATCGGTGAAATTATACGAAGAGACAAAACACCTGTCGATCACCTTATATACAAGAGGCTTTTCTGCTCAGGATACTTTATTTAAATTCTACTTCAGCGATGGCTTAACAAGCGCCATCTCCAGCGATGGGTGAAAGTAAGCTTTTGTTTTATTATTCTCATTTCATGCAGTCTGGGGGCCTGTAGAGGACGTAATTGATAACATTTGGCTTCTTGTGTAGTTTTTGATTGGCTTATATCACTTGATATATGGGTGTGTATGGAGGTGTGTCGAATAGTTGACCAATGGCAGGAACTGTCACGAAAGTGTCTAAGGTTAAGTCAGTTTCACTTCACTAACAGAGTACCTCTTTCTAAATGATGACGGATAATTATCATAATGACACCAACGTTTCAATTCAAGTCCACAAATTTCAAAAGCTACCTTGGGGAGCTTGAAAGGACCTAAGGTCCTTTCAGTTTTCGTATCAAGTCTGAATTCTAGACCAATAATCCCGACAAGTGCATTGGCAAGAAACAGACAGTGCCTAGACTAATAAATTTATCAATTTGTTCAAGCAGATGAATTCAGCCAACAGTTAATTTCAGGCTAGACCGCTTCAATTATGTGAAGTTTGTTTTAAGACGTGCGTGGTGCAATTGCCGACTTAAGACTGCGATGAGTCCTACCAACCACTTTCGATTTGTTCGTGAAGTTTTTTGGCATTGGAAAAACATTGAATAGATGACATTGTAATTTTAAAAGACGAGCATGGCCTTATCCTGATTGATTTTAAAGTGGGAAGTTTTGTCACTGACAAGAAACATTACCACTAAGCAGTGGGAAAATGTTGTGATTTGGCATGTTATCGTCATCGAACGAAGGTCACTCAGAAATTGTTTGATTGCACGAAAAAGAGTTAACTATCGCCCTTTCTAAACAATGTGTTACAAAATCTTCCGAGCAATTTTTTTATTATGACAAATAGGATTGAAATTCATACACGTACTTGAAAAATGTTCTCTAGTCCTCAAAACCATGTACAGATGTTAAGCCTGAAGCCTGAAAAATGGCCAACCCAGGAGATAACTCTGAAGACATCTCGAAAACGGCGCTACCAGATTTGGAGAACGAACGAGTTTTGAAGTCATATTACCGTCGACTGACGAAGCGACTGTTGTGACCCACAGAGGGTCAATGGGCAGCGTCTTTGCAATATCCATTGCAAGCACTGCATAGAGGAAACTAAAGCCTTCCTAGAATCGAACATGATACGTTCCCAACAGTTCAGACTTGAAGATTGTAGAAGAAGTAATTCGCAGTTTAGTGTATCTTGCAGTAAATATGCCCGGTGCATCAGAGCTCTTCGATACTTCTCCGACATTATCGAAGACAGCTTCAATTTGCATCATTTCAACTCTCACACAAGAAGTAAAACCCGCCGAGTTGAATCGGTGAACTGGTAAGTATTTCAAGCCAGCTTCTGTTGATTTTCGAAATGATGTTTAGGTATACTGCTGTTGCTTAGCGTGCCCTTAGTTACTGCTTCCATATTTGGTATTGTATGCATAAATTGATGACAATAGATATCCGGAATTGCGTGGTCACAGGATATTATTACGACTTTAAAAACCTAATGAAACATTTTCAACTGTTTCCACTATCAGTCTAAAACTATTTTCACTGACCAGAAACGTATCAAAATTTGCAAGAGAGAATGATCATCCTAGATAAAAAAGGCTTTAGTAAAGTTTTATTTTCAATTTTAGAGGTCGTTAGGGACTTTAAGAAAACCATGACGGAGACGGCCTAGCGAAACAGAAGATCTGTTGAGCAAAACAATGGCGCATCTCGTGCAGTTTGCAACTTTGTCAAGTTTTATATTTGCTGTTCCAAAAACGTCAAGTCCGGTTTTTAATTTTATATACATATCTATTAATGAGTGAAAAGTCTTGAGCGCGTTGTCTCATTGTCGAGTCCTTTAAATCAAACAAATCGGAGCACACAGTATCATTTCATTTCCTCCATTTTCTTCACGAGTCGAACGGATCCGTACGGATCGTCTAATGTATTAAAGAGTCGCAAGACTGTGCTGTCTATCGGTGAATGTCATCAGGAAGACATGCAGTATTCTCTTTGTTTGAACTGGAAAATTTCAGGGTATCATCTTGTCAAATTATGTTTTTTTCATCGAAAAGCCGACCTCAAACCATAAACCGTACTGGATTAGCAAAATGATCACTGTTAACCTCTGGCAAAAGTAACGTTCTCATTATAGTATAGCAATAAAGTTTATGTTCACGGGTATAAATATGTTTTGGGCCCACTCACAGTAATTGATAATTCATGTAGATCCCGCTTGTAGACTAATGGAAAATATTTAAGTGCATGACTAGATTATTAACAAGCAAAAGCTCATATACTGTAGTTTCTGTCAAAAAAATAGGGTGCCCTCGAAAAAATCGACGCATTCGCGCTTTTCTAAGAGAAAGGGAAAAAAAACTATGGATCATTGTAAAACTTGTAAAGAAATGATAAATAAGATGAAAATTTTCGCAGTGTTTATGTTCATGGGCATAAATATGTTTGTTGGCCCACTCACTCTCTTTGATAATTCGTGTAGATGCCGCTCTTGTAGGCTAATGGAAAATATCTAAACGCATGACTAGATTATTGAAAAGCAAAAGCTCATATAAAGTAGTTTCTGTCAACAAAATAGGGTGCGTTCGAAGAAATCTTCGCATGCACGCTTTTTTAAGAGAAACGAAAAAAAAAACTATACATCACTGTAACAGTTATAAAGAAATGATAAATAAGATGAGAATTTTCGCAGTGTTTGTTTTGTAAGGTGCGTGCGAGGCTGTAATACGAAAAGGGAAGGTGTTTGCTTTACAGAATTACCAGCCTTCACGTTACTGCGGACCTACAAACAAAGTGGACAGTAATTTTCAACATAGCATGGGCTAAAAAATTATGTGAGACTTTTTCGATGTTCCAATTGGTTCCTGAAAAAGAAAACACTTGTTTTGAAGTTAGGGTGAATAGAAATGTTTCGGTTGTCGATCGTCACGGTTATTTCGGTTGACATCACGAAAGAAAGTTTTGGAATTCCGCAATTCTTCGTTTGCACGTGACGTCACACCTAATTATGCGATCTCTGAAAACCGGAACTCGGCCATTGCTGGTGGACCAGTGCCGGATGCAAACAAAGCCAAGCAAAGACTTTTCGTCACAGTTGTTGAGTTTTTGTTGTTGTTTTATTCGGCCATGGGCTATATTTGTGCTGTCAAAGACTGCAGTAACAAAAGAAAAAAAAAAGAAAGGGGATTCTTGTATACAATATTTTCGCTTCCCCGCAATAAGAAAGAACGGAGGAGATAAACTACGCAAGCTTTG